ATTTTTTAAAGAATATATTTGAGGGACTAAAGGGCCAATATTCGTGGATTTTTTAAAGAATATATTTGAGGGACTATAGAGCCAATAATCGTAGATTTTTAAAGAATATATTTGGGGGACTATAGAGCCAATATTCGTGGATTGTTTAAAGAATATATTTGAGGGACTATAGAGCCAATAATCGTAGATTTTTAAAGAATATATTTGAGGGACTGTCGAGGATTTTTTAAAGAATATATTTGAGGGACTATATGGTCAATAATCGTGGATTTTTTTAAAGAATATATTTGAGGGACTATAGAGCCAATAATCGTAGATTTTTAAAGAATATATTTGAGGGACTGTCGAGGATTTTTTAAAGAATATATTTGAAGATTTTAAAGGATTTTTTTTTGTGGGGCTATCGAAGATTTTTTAAGAATATTTTTGAGGGAGCATCGAGGATTTTTTTGAGGAACTATAATCGGGACTATTTGTCGATTTTTTAAGAAATATTACTGAAGGACTATCGATGCATCATTTTTAAGGGACTATCGAAACAACTTTTTTGAGGCACTATCGAGGATTTTTTAAGAATATTTTTGAGGGACTATAGAGCCAATAATCGTGGATTTTTTAAAGAATATATTTGAGGGACTGTCGAGGATTTTTTAAAGAATATATTTGAGGGACTAAAGGGCCAACAATCGTGGATTTTTTAAAGAATATATTTGAGGGACTAAAGGGCCAATAATCGTGGATTTTTTAAAGAATATATTTGAGGGACTAAAGGGCCAATATTCGTGGATTTTTTAAAGAATATATTTGAGGGACTATAGAGCCAATAATCGTAGATTTTTAAAGAATATATTTGGGGGACTATAGAGCCAATATTCGTGGATTGTTTAAAGAATATATTTGAGGGACTATAGAGCCAATAATCGTAGATTTTTAAAGAATATATTTGAGGGACTGTCGAGGATTTTTTAAAGAATATATTTGAGGGACTATATGGTCAATAATCGTGGATTTTTTAAAGAATATATTTGAGGGACTATAGAGCCAATAATCGTAGATTTTTAAAGAATATATTTGAGGGACTGTCGAGGATTTTTTAAAGAATATATTTGAGGGACTATATGGTCAATAATCGTGGATTTTCTAAAGAATATATTTGAGGGACTATAGAGCCAATATTCGTGGATTTTTTAAAGAATATATTTGAGGGACTATAGGGCCAATAATCGTGGATTTTTTAAAGAATATATTTGAAGGACTTTCGAGGCAATAATCGTGGATTTTTTAAAGAATTTATTTAAGGGACTGTCGAGGATTTTTTAAAGAATATATTTGAGGGACTATAGAGCCAATAATCGTGGATTTTTTAAAGAATATATTTGAGGGATTGTCGAGGATTTTTCAAAGAATATATTTGAGGGACTATAGAGCCAATAATCGTTGATTTTTTAAAGAATATTTTTGAGAACTATCGAGGAAATAATTGTGGATTTTTATACCCTACAACACTATGTGTTGGGGGTATTATAAGTTTGATTGGGCCAAAAATTATGTAACACCACGAAATATTGATTTCCCACATAGGAAAGTATATATGGATCTTCCTATCTCGCCGAGCTGAGTCGATCTAGCTATGTATGTCCGTCCGTCCGTCTGTCCGTCTGTCCGTCTGTCCGTCTGTCCATGTTAATTTGTAATCACTCTACAGGTCGCAATTATGGCCCGATCTTCACGAAATTTAGAATGGCGGTGGGGCTAGGGTCAGAATAGAACCCTATTTCTTTTGGAGATGATCGCATAATATTTAGGGGTCGAAATGGACCAAAAACTGAAAAAATGTCGGATTTTGCAGTAGCTATACAGGTCGCAATTATAGACCAATCGACGCGGAACTTCGCATGTATCTAGAGTTTAGAGCGGGGAAGAAGCCTACCAATTTGGGTGGTCATCGGATAATATTTAGCGGGTAAAATAGACCATATCTTTTGTGTTGAAAAATTCAAAATTTTTCATTAAAACGTGAATATTTTAAATCCCGGGGAAATCAAAAAGCCATCACAAGGTTACTTCTGACCTTTACATTGATGTTATTATCCAACAAATCGAATATATAGCAAAATATGTGCGATATATGTGTCTATCAAAGGAGATATGCTTGAAAGATATCTTATATGTCGAGAACGGCTGAACTGATTTCGACAGTTCTCATTAATTCAGAATGGCCTCTTGGCAGGAAAGAAAAAACGTCTAAAAAATCGCATAAAAATATCTCTCTAAAGATGAAAATATTGATTTTGTAAAATTTTCTCATATTTTTTTCAATTTTGTCATATTTTTTTGGCATATTTTCATTTTGAATTAAACATTTGGTAATATTTCTACAGCTAACAAAACTAAGTAGTTAGGATATCAGGATATCATATACAGATCGCATTTATGGCCCGATCCTTACGAAATTTTGCATGGGGATAAGATGAGGGTCAGAATAGAAGCCTACTCTTTTTGGAGATGATCGCCATATATTTAGGGGTTGAAATGGACCAAAAAACTGCAAAATTGTCAGCAGGTCGTAATTATCGCCCGACCTCACGCACATGTGAACGGGGGTTACCGGACATTGCAAAAGCCAAGCAGTTTTGGATGGCCATCCAAAAATATTCAATGTGCGAAATAGTTTGCCAACTTTTGTAGACAAAATACGAAAATGTCCATTCCAGTGTCTTTTTGGAGAATTCACAAATACAGGAAAGACGCACTTCTGACTATTTCGTTAACGCTGATTTCGTTGAAGAATATAGTCAAATGTCTGTATCTCATACAGATGCGTTTCAGTCAAAAACCAATAATAAATGTTAATCTTTTGCCACTTCAGAGAGATTATAGGTCTTTGGGAAATATTGGTTCCAGATCTAGGAAGACATTTACGTGCAACATCTACCAATAAATTGGAAATGAGCAAATTAGCTTAAGTTGTTATTATTCGAAAATTATAGAACGAAACCTGATGGTTTTCTTTTATTATTTGTCACAATATCTTGTGGAATTCATTCGAGTATCTCGCCTATATAAACTGTATCCCTTATTATAGTGTTGTAGGGTATTCAACGGTCGGCCCCGCTCGACTGTAGCCTTTGCTTACTTGTTTTAAGAATATATTTGAGGAACTTTCGAGGCAATAATCGTGGATTTTTTAAAGAATATATTTGAGGGACTGTCGAGGATTTTTTAAACAATATATTTGAGGGACTATCGAGGCAATTATCGTGGACTTTTTAAAGAATATTTTTGAGAGACTATCGAGGCAATAATCGTAGATTTTTAAAAGAATATTTTTGAGGGTCGATAGTCACAATAATCGTTGTTTTTTAAAATAATATTTTTGAAGGTCGATAGACCCAAAAATCGAGGATTTTTTAAAGAATATTTTTGAGGGTGGATAGTCCCAAAAATCGAGGATTTTGTAAAGAATATTTTTGAGGGTCGATAGTCCCAATAATCGAGGATTTTTTATAGAATATTTTTGAGGGACTATTGTGGCAATAATCGTGATTTTTTAAAAAATATTTTTGAGGGTCGATAGTCCCAATAATCGTGGATTTTTTAAAGAATATTTTTGAGGGTCGATAGTCCTAAAAATCGAGGATTTTGTAAATAGTCTTTAATCGAGGCTATGTTCGATTTATGAAGAATATTTTTGAGGAACTATCAAGGCAATAATCGTGAATTTTTTTAAAAAATATTTTTGGATTTAAAAAAAAAATGATGGGGGTATATCGTGGTAATAGTCGTGGATTTTTTTGAAGAATATTTTGAGGGACTATCGAGGCAAAAATCGTGGAGTTTTTGAAGAATATTTTTGGGGGAATATTGAGGCAATAATCGTGAATTTTTTAAAGAATGTTTTTGAGGGACTATCGAGTGAAAAATCGTGGATTTTATTAAAGCATATTTTTGAGGGACTACCAAGCCAATAATCGTAGATTTTTTAAGGAGTATTTTTGAGGGACTAACGTGGCAATAATTGTAAATTTGTTGAGAATGTTTTTGACTGACTATCGAGCCGCAGATCGTGGATTTTTTAAAGAATATTTTTGAGGGACTTTCGCTAAATTTTTAAAGAATATTTTTGAAGGACAATCGAGGCAATAATCGGCGATTTTTACGGGAATGTCCCTATCGAGGTAATAATCGTGGATTTTTTAAAGATTATTTCTGAGGATATATCGAGGCAATAATTATGGATTTTTAAAGAATGTTTCTGAAGGACTATCGAGCCAATAATCGTGGATTTTTTTAAGAATATTTTTGACGGACTACCGATGCAATAATTGTGATTTTTCTATCAAAATTAAATATTTCCTATTTTAAATTTATTTTCGTTGTTTTCAAGACTTCCCATAGTCGCTGCATAAAAACATATTAATTTTTAAAAACTTCTTAATATTACTTTTAATATTAATCTTAAATATTAAAATATTGCATATTTGTGTAAAGCTCAACACGTTGCTGAAAACTTCAATTGCCATCAAAGCTAAAAAACCAAAAAACTAAAAAAAATTGCGTATCAAAGCAAAATTGTTGATATTTTGAAAGGAAAAAAAAACATATGGAAATGGTGTAGTCTCTCAAAATTGGTTTTTCTCAAATTTTTACAGGTGTCAGTAACAGGGTGCGGATTTTGTTTTTTTCTAATTTAAAATTGTCGACTATTCATAATAAGTTGTTGGTACATATTATTGAAAAATAAGCATTTTGAACTTAACCTTTGGCCTTTTATGGAAGTAAGCTTTCCATACAAAAATCAAAAAATAAAAGTGCAACAAAATTGTGATAAAAAAGCGTTATTTTTTATTCCAAAAACAATATTTCAACTAAAATTATTTTTTTTTGTTTCATATTTTTTCTTTGATTTGATTCGATTTTGGCATTTGCAAAATATGGTGAGCCAGAAAAGTTAAAGATAAATAGGTTTTTTGCTAGTAGATTTTTGAGTGAGTGAATACTTGTCATGTTGTTCCGCAAGGGCCTGCAGCTGCTGCTCATACGGATTCGGTTCATCCTTCTTCTTGTTGGTGTTGCGTCGCGGACGATTCATCATGGGATCTTCCATTTGACGAGAATTCTGATTTCTGGCCTGTGGCGGTGGACCGGGCGGCTTTTTCTTTTCCTTCTTCTTTTTCTGCTGCTCGTAGAAGGCAGCATTGGCCGAGGCAACGGCAGCTTCTCGTTCCATTTGTTGTTGTTTCTTGGCAGCCAGAGCCGCAGTTTGAAATTGTATGAGATGGGAACTGCGTCGCCGCAACGCCGAGGCATAGGGTCCACCACCACCCACGCCAAAGAGACGTTTGATGCGACGTTTATTTATAAAACCCAAGCCAGAACTTATGGTCGAACTACCGCCTTCACTGCTGCCCGCAACCATGCGACTAAAATTCGAATCCAAGTCGCAAGAATGGCTGCCATTGAAGGTCACACCGCCTATGGTGCCGGCCGAATCGGCACCACAGGGAAAGAGATATGTATTGAGGGTGCTCAAGGTTGTGGAGGTGTGTTGGCGTGTCAGATCACCACCACCGACAGCGCCGGCCTCTGAACCACCGCCACCACCTCCACCTCCGACATAGCCGTTGTTGTTTTCATGATCACCATGGCCACCACCCAAATTGCCACCCCCTGCGGTGGTGTGCTGCAGCGACACCGCTTGGGCCGTTGATCCTGTGGCAGTGTTCTGAGAGGCTGTGGTGTTGGTTAGACTGGTGGCAGTGTTCGTGTCGTATGAATGGGGATTGACATAGATGTGATTATTGTTGTTGTTGTAGACATAGTCTCGTCCCAGTTGTGGAGGTGGAGCATGAGCCGGTTGCTGGTGCTGCGCCGGTGGTGGAGGCTGCTGCTGCTGCTGTGGATGGGCGGGCGGTTGCTCCGGATTGTTGTTGGTCAAATTCAGGTGAAGATTGACTTGATTGACGTAGTGGGCAATGTTACGTTGTTGGGCCAAATTTTGTGGATTTGCGTGTGCAGGCGGGTTGTTGTTGTTATTATTATTGTTGTTGTTTTGCTGATCTTGTACATGTTGGGGTGGTCTTGCCTGTTGTTGGCCAGGTGGTCTTGGATTATCCGCACCGCCACCGCCAGCTGCTTGCTGTTGTTGACGTGGTTGGGCGGCAGCTGGAGCTGCTGCTGCCTGTTGTGGTGGAGGCCCCGCTGGTAATATCGGTTGTATGGGTAATGGTGGCAAATGTGCTCTCTGCAGCTGTTGTTGTTGCTGTCGCCGCTCTGTACTCCCACCACTTGATGTGCCACAGCAATCACACGTTCCCGAATCATGTGAACCAACCATGTTGTCGGTTGGGGATTTGTTATTTAAGTTACAAGATTTTTCTTTTTTTGGTTTATATTTAGCGTTTCTTTATGTTGTAGATTTTTTTTTAATAATTTATTATTGCATTTTTTTGTTGCTGGTTTTCTGATATGCGTTTTTAGCCGTAAAATTTGGAAGTTTTGTTTAAAAAATAAATTGCTTGTGCTGAAAACCAGTTTTTTCGGTTGTTGTTTTTTTTTGTTGTTGTTTTTCCTTTTGTTCTATTAAACTAAAGCTTTGCTTTTTATTTTTTATTGCAATTTTAGGAATTGTTGTTTTCGATAAGCGTTTATATTATTTTTATATATGTTTTGGTTTCTTAGTTTCAATTTTTTTAGGAACTGCAAAAAAGTGTTATAAAATATTTAACATTTTCATTAATTTGTTGTTAACGAAGATTAGAGTTTTACAAAGTCAATATTTTGGATCCAGAGGCTAACCAATTAGTTTTTAATCGGCATTTATAATTTAAAGGCGAAAAGAACAATTGAATCTAAGGAAAGTCTGGGATGCAAAATAATCCATCTGAGGTCTGTCCGTTTTTCCACAAGATGTGATATATCATACAAATCTTTCTCAGATCAAACCACACTACTTTGGAAAACCTCGACGATAATTTTTCAGACAAAAAAAATCCGTAAACAATTCTGGCCGAACTATAAATACCCTCCACCATTTGGAACGAATTTGGCAATTTTCAAAAATAATAATAATAATAATAATAATAATAATAATAATAATAATAATAATAATAATAATAGTAATAATAGTAATAATAGTAATAATAATAATAATAATAATAATAATAATAATAATAATAATAATAACAATAATAATAATAATAATAAATAAATAAATAAATAAATGGCCGAACTTTGAATAGTCTCTACCACTCGGAACAAATTTGGCAATTAAAAAAAAAGCCTTTAAAAATTCTATTAAAATCTGAAAAATACCAAATCTAGCCGTGTATTAGGGCCTATACGACGACTTGGACCTGCATAGGCGATTTTTGTCATAAGCCATTATTCAAATGCGAAACTTGAAAAAAAATTGGTGAATAATGTAGCTAAAATCATCAAAATACCGAATATCGGGAGTTACCGTTATATAGGTCTATACGAAGATGCACAGACAGTTTTCTTTCATAGACTGTAGTATCTATTACGAACTTCAAATACCAAATTTGAAACAATTCCGGAGAATAATGTCGCTAAAATCACCAAAATATCGAATATCGGGAGGTGCCGTTATATGGGGGCTATACGAAGACGTGGACATGCACAGGCAATTTTCTTTCTTAGGCTGTACCAACTCCGAATACCAAATTTGAAACGTATGCGTTGAATAATGTCGCTTATATCACAAAAATACCGAAAATAGGGAGGTATCATGGGGGCTATACCAAAACGTGGACCTACATGGCGTATTTACAATACCAAAATCCTGCAGATATAATATATACATTTGAGTAAACATTTATCAACCCACTTTATTTTGTTCGAAGGCTAGAGTGATTTCCACAGACAGACAGATGGACGGACAACGCTAAATATACTTTGTGGGGCCTACAATGTATATTTCGAGGTGTTACAAACAGAATTGGTACACAACAACCGAAAAATCGGATGAAGATATATACAAATCCGATATCGATAAAATTTGGCAGAGGTATTTCTGAGCTGAATCTGATATGTGGTACCAATACAGGTTTGCCCATATTCGACGGACCCATCTGGTAACGCCATAACTTTTGACAGAGATGTCACATCGCTTAATGACATACCGCGTTTGAAGCGTCAGTCCAAGCAGATTTTTACCATGAACCAATACACGCCACGCGAGCGATCTGAAATAGTTGAAATTTACATTCAACAGAAGAAGTCAATTGTGAAACCTCAACGTGCTTTTAAAACATTAAAAAAATGTGAGAAGTGCGCCTTCTAAGAACACCATTAAGCGTTTATACGAAAAATTTTCGACTGGTAAGGCTCTTTCTAATCCGAAGAGGCCAGATAAAAGTCGACCAAGGCAATCGGCCGAGAATATCGCTGCCGTACGAGCCAGTGTTGAGAGGTCCCCAAGAACATCCCAAAAACGCCGTTCTCAGCAGTTGGGCATGGCTCGGTCCACTTTACAACGGATTATTCGCATTGATTTGCATTTGTTCCCGTACAAAATTCAATTGACGCAAAGAATGTTGCCTGCGGACAAGCCTCGTCGATTGGAATGGGCCCCAAAGGGTACAAAGACCCGTCGAATATGGGCAACCCTGTATTTACGAATGTGAGGGACTTAAGCACCATATCAGATGAAACATGTATGTTGGAGCTACAGCTGTATTGAACCGATTTTCACCAACTTTGAAGTATTTGCTTCTAGGCTATATTAAGTCAAATGTACCAAACAAACTTCACATCAGATAAAGATATATAAGGCAGCTATATAAATCTTAACCTATTTTCATGAAATTTGACAGAGATATTTCTGAGGATTTTTCCATATCTTATTATTACGAATGTGAGGAACGCAAACTCTGAATGTGCCAAAATCCACTCCATATAAAATATATATGAAGGCTATATCGAAATCTGAAGAGATCTTAATAAAATTTTGCATAGGTATCTTTAGAAGATCGTATATTTCCGGACTGAATATGACCATGAAATACTGATAGTACGCATTTGGTTAACAATATTTACTACACTATATGGGAGCTATATCCAAGTCTAATAGGGTTCGTCATTGGACCCAACAAATGGTATGTTTAAAATTTCATCTCAATGAGACAAAAAAATGTGACCTGTATTTAATGGCAGAAGTTCATGGAACGGAAGAGGAACGAACAGTGAGACAGATGGACATGTACAAATCGACTCAGAATGAGATTTTTTGAAGATCATCAAATCAGAGAATCAGAGGTTGAGCAAGAGTTCTTCAATTATTTATTATTATTATTATTATATTATTATTATTATTATTATTATTATTATTATTATTATATTATTATTATTATTATTAGTATTATTATTATTATTATTATTATTATTATTATTATTATTATTATTATTATTATTATTATTATTATTATTATTATTATTATTATTATTATTATTATTATTATTATTATTATTATTATTAGTATTATTATTATTATTATTATTATTATTATTATGATTATTATTATTATTATTATTATTATTATTATTATTATATTATATTATTATTATTATTATTATTATTATTATTATATTAGTATTATTATTATTATTATTATTATTATTATTATTATTATTATTATTATTATTATTATTATTATTATTATTATTATTATTATTATTATTATTAGTTATTATTATTATTATTATTATTATTATTATTATTATTATTATTATTATTATTATTATTATTATTATTATTATTATTATTATTATTTTATTATTATTATTATTATTATTATTATTATTATATTATTATTATTATTATTATTATTATTATTATTATTATTATTATTATTATTATTATTATTATTATTATTATTATTATTATTATTATTATTATATTATTATTATTATGTATTATTATTATTATTATTATTATTATTATTATTATTATTATTATTATTATTATTATTATTATTAT